ATCCAAGAATTAGAATCAGAACCAATGGGTGAGCCATGGAAAGAAAGATTTACTAAATATTTAAGAATGAAAGCAAACTACTAGGCCGGCGCCGTGGCTCAATAGGCTAATCCTCCACCCTGTGGCGCCAGCACACCGGGTTCTAGTCCCAGTCGCATCACTGGATTCTGTCCCGGTTGCCCCTCTTCCAGGCCAGCTCTCTGCTGTGGCCCAGGAGTGCAGTGGAGGATGGCCCAGGTCCTTCGGCCCTGCACCCCATTGGAGACCAGGATAAGTACCTGGCTCCTGCCATTGGATCAGCGCGGTGCGCCGGCCGCGGCGGCCATTGGAGGGTGAGCCAACGGCAAAGAAAGACCTTTCTCTCTCTGTCTCTCTCTCTCACTGTCCACTCTGCCTGTCGAAAAAAAAAAAAAAAATCCAAAAAACAAAATAAAGTGAATTGGCGGATTCTGGACTTCTTTTCTTAGAATCTATTTGCAAATTTAAACAAGTGCTTCTACTTCAGGAGTTTTATAAAATTCATTGCCTTGGATACATCTCAACCAATTAAATCAGAATCGGACTCTCTGAGAATGGGAATCAGGTTTTGAGATTTTTTAAGGCCCCCAAGGTAATTCCAATGTGCAGCCAATTTTGGCAGCCCTGCCTTAAACCCTGGTTGTCTCCCATACACTCCTAATCAAGAGGAAATTCACCAGGCTCTAATTTAATAGGTAAGATTCAATATTGGCAACCAACATTCTGGTATCTTTCTTTCTTCTCGTCCTGTTTCCTTCCAACTCTCATTGTACAATGCAATTTTGGGCATTTCATCACTCCCCTAGGTTTAAATTCCTAATTTATAAAATAATAGATCACAATCCAGCATAACATAATCAGAGACATTCTAACAGAGCAAATGAGACAAAACAGATGGAAAGCACATTAAAGTTTTAGAACAAAAATTAGAAATCCCAGGTAGGATTATCACACCACCCACACCACTCCCCAACTCTCTTTCCCCATAAACATGCCCACTGCCGTCTCTTCTGAAATAATCTTGCTTCCTGAAGTTAAAGATTTTTTATAATAAATGACTTGGGGGTTTGTTAAGTTGTTAATGCTGCTATTTCAGAGAATTTCTTTTTTTTTCTTTTTTTAAATGTTTTTAATTTTTTATTTTTTTGACAGGCAGAGTGGACAGTGAGAGAGAGAGACAGAGAGAAAGGTCTTCCTTTGCCGTTGGTTCACCCTCCAATGGCTGCCGCCGCTGGCATGCTGCGGCCGGCGCACCGCGCTGATCCGATGGCAAGAGCCAGGTACTTATCCTGGTCTCTCATGGGGTGCAGGGCCCAAGGACTTGGGCCATCCTCCACTGCACTCCCGGGCCACAGCAGAGAGCTGGCCTGGAAGAGGGGCAACCGGGACAGAATCCGGTGCCCTGACTGGGACTAGAACCCGGTGTGCCGGCGCCGCTAGGTGGAGGATTAGCCTAGTGAGCAGCGGCGCCAGCCTATTTCAGAGAATTTCAAGCCAATTCTACCCATTGTTCTATCATTTGGCAACCATTCTCTTCTCTCTCATATTATTACTCCTAATCTTTCAAGAATCACAGATTAATGCATCTAAAGAGAAGTGATATGAGATGAACTTTGGAGAAAAATCTGTGATTGCATGAACTATAAGTAAGGTTAGTTGTGTCCCAGTGTGGTCTCCAGTAAAACGAGGCTCTGGCATTCTTCACTTTGACCTCCACTGCCTTCTGCCCTGAAATTCGTCATGGTTTCCTCACCTAGATTATTTCTTAATAGAAAGTTCTAGGAGAGGGGCTGACGCCATGGCTCGTTTGGTTAATCCTCCGCCTGAGGCACTGGCATCCCATATGGGTGCCAGGTTCTAGTCCCGGTTGCTCCTCTTCCAGTCCAGCTCTCTGCTGTGGCCCAGAATGGCAGTGGAGGATGGCCCAAGTGCTTGGGCCCTGCACCTGCACGGGAGACCAGGAGGAAGCACCTGGCTCCTGGCTTCGGATCGGTGCAACGCCAGCCGTAGCAGCCATTTGGGGAGTGAACCAATGGAAGGAAGACCTTTCTCTCTGTCTCTCTCTCTCTCACTGTCTATAACTCTACCTGTCAAATAAATTAAAAAAAAAAAAAAGTTCTAGGAGAAATGTATGGTGAAATGAAAGACTGTTTCCCTGAAATAGGAAGGAGTCATGACAGCTCAACTGTGACCCTGGCCTGGCAGCTTACTGCGTGACCTCAGCAAACCAATTAACATCTCTTTGTCCAACGTTGTATGTGAATACTTGTGAATATATAAGGAGCAGTAAAAATAGAAGTCATTGTAGTGAGTTATTGATACCTCATGGGAAATAGTCAAGAAAGCAGAACTACATATAATGAAACAAAGCTATATGAGCATAAGATAGATCTGCAGAAGACAATTCAGAAGTATAAAACCAGAGGAAAGGTAGGCAATAGAGTTTTTCTCCATCCTTTCAAGTAGGGAATTTAATACCTTCTATCACTTCCTCATAATGGGTTTGCTAATGACCCCTCCTGCTTGCCCTCTGTACACAGAAAGAGAGCTACAGCAGAGTCGAGAATTGCAAGTGTACCCCATGAAAATGCAGACAGCAGTGATCGTGAATACTGCTAGGAACACCTGCCACCATCGTGGATTCTTGATTTGTCCTGTGAATGAAACTTGTTGCAGTGGTATTAAACCTTGTAGACTGTGTTAACCTTACACTTTGAAATAAAAGACCAACAAACATCTCAAGTAAAAAAGATATGTCTGTATCAAGAGGAAGAAGATTGTGAGTTTACTGCCTAAATTCCAGAGGAAAGCCACCAAAATGTCTGCCTAATCTTTACGCTGAACAGCAAAGTTACGTTGTTACAGTTCACCATCCCTTGCTTCTCTTTTTAGCTTCCCCTAACATATTTTTGGACCATCTTCCAGGACCCAGGTTTTGTATCTTTGATGTATACCATCTCTTCCTCCTACTACACTAAACCCGGGATGGTTTCACCTATCAAGACAGAACAAAGTTCAGATAAAAAATCAAGTGAAGCTGTTTGCTTCCGACTCCACTTGGCTCTGCTCCTCCTTAACTGACATTTGTGTCCAGCACAATCTCTCTCTCTCTCTCAAAATTTATTCATTCGTAAGTCAGAGTTACACAAAGGAGAGGCAGATCATGCTAGTTCACTCCCTAATTGGCCGCAACAGCCAGGTTGCACCTCTCCGAAACCAGGAGCCAGGAGCTGCTTCCAGGTCTCCCATGTGGGTGCAGGGTTCCAAGGACTTTGGCCATCTTTCACTGTTTTCCCAGGCCATAGCAGAGAGCTGGATCAGAAGTGGAGCAGCTGGGACTCGAACCGGTGCCCATATGGGATGCCAGCACTACCAGCGGCAGCTTTACACACTATGCCACAGCACTGGCTCCCACAAGCTTCTCTCATACTGGCTTTGCTTCCCACTGCTGCATTGTACAGTTTATTGAATACAGTTATACCAGCAAACATTTATGCAGCACTCGCCACATGTTGCCTACTCCTCTAAGCACCTACTGGGGAACGGAGAGGTTAAGTAGTTTGTTCCAGATCACACAGCTGATAAACAGGACAGGATTCCAACCCATGTCATTTGGCTTTAGAGTCCATGTGTACTATACTGTACTGCCTCTCCAGGGTATTCTCAAAAACCAATTTTCTTATAAGATTACAATTCTCTTTGATATTGCTTCTATTTTTTAAATTGAGATACAATTCCAACACCAGAAATGCCACCCTTTTTAGAGTGTACAATCTGGGGTTTTCATTGTGATCACAACAGTAGGTGGCTATCCTCAGTGTCTTGTTCAGAATATCACACTTTCTCTTTATTGCTCCCTTCCCCAAGCCCTTGGCAATCACGAACTGCTTTCTGTCTTTACCGATTAGCCTATTCTGGACATTGCATATAAAATGAATCATGCAACATGTGACCTTTTGTGCCTTGTTTTCTTCACTTAGCAAAATGTTTTCAAGGTTGATCCATGTTGTTGTGTGATCAGTATTCATGCCTTTTTTCAGCTGAATATTGCACCATATGGATATAACAAACTTCATTATCCAGTCCTCAGCTGATGGACATTTGGCTAGTGTCCACTTTTCCCATTATGAATAGTCACACCGAAGTTTTAAAATGGTCATTTGTTTTCATTTCTCTTCAGTACATGTGTAAGAGTGTAGCGGCTGATACGGTAACTGTTTAAATTTGAGGAACTGCCAACTATTTTCCAAAGTGAATGTATCATTTTACATTCCCAACAGAGAGAAGGAGAAGGAGGAAGGGAGGGAGGGAGAGAGGGAAAAAGAGAGAGAGAGAGAGATTCCATCTTCCACCCATTGGTTTAGTCCCCAGATACCTGCAACAGCCTGGTCTGGGCCGGGCTGAAGCCAGGAGTCCGGAACTCTATTCTGGTCTCCCACGTGGGTGTCAGGGGCCCAAGTCCTTGAGCCATCTTCTGTTGCCTTCTCGGAACAATAGGAGAAAGCCTGATCAGAAGCACAGCAGCCAAGACTCCAGCTGGCATTCCAATATGAGATGGTAGTGTCGCAAGCAGCAGCTTAACCGGCTGCACCACAATGCCGGCCCCGGGTTCTTTCCTTTCATCCTACTCTTCTCCTAGAACTTTCCATTGAGAAATAATCTATGTGAAGAAGACATGACTAATTTCAGGGCAAAAGGCAGTGGAAGTCAAAGTGAGGATGAATGCCAAGGCCACGTTGTACTGGAGACCACACCTGTGCACATGTTGCACTACTTATAGTTCATTTGACCACAATACTGGCCCCAGGAACTAAGGGTTAAGTGAAAAAATGAGTTGCCTAAGGTCAGAAAAGAAATCAGACAACTAATTCAATTTGAGACCTCCTGATCATGAATCCATTAGATCATCCTTAAGTTAGGAAACACAGGGAGGGAAAGAAAGGGAAACTAAAGCCACTTGTGGTTGCGGGAGCTGCTTGGGTTTCAGGAAGATACGCAAGCACAGAAGGCTGCTCTGTGTCAGAAAAACGAATCCACACACACACACTGGAGATGTAGTAACCACCCCATACCTTCCGTGCCACTCTAGCCACAACTCCTTGCTAAAGAAACAAAAAATAGCAAAAAGAACAATCCTGCCATCATTTCTTAATCTCCTTGACAAACACATTACGAAATACAGCAGGTGCTTCAAAGGGGCCAGGGAATCTTAAATATGTAAGGAAAAGAGTTCTTTGCAGGCAACACCAGCACCAACAAGGAACTCTATCCTCCATAATTTACTGATGGGAAAATGAAGTACAGAGGTGAGATGCCTTCCAGCAGTTAATTAGCCCCAAAGCTGAGACCAGTATTGTGTGTCTTGAGCCTCCATTGAATGCTCTTTCTGCTTCCCACCATATACAATGCTGCCTGGAGATTTGCCTCTTGTAGAGATGAGAATGAGAAGAAGATCCTGGTTCTTAGAATTCATACTGCCTGTATACTTCAATTTCTTCTGCCCACCGGGACTTTGGTTTGTGTGTGTGCCTGGGTTGGTCTCTGCAGATCGCTGGCCCACACATGCCCAGAGTGGAAGGCTGGAGAACTTCCATTCCCAGGTGTGTTCTTGTTACTTTAAGAACATTTGAATGAATACTCCGCTCTGCTCCTTCTTTTTCTCCTAAAACTGATTCTGATTTATGCTTAGATATCAGCTCCAAGGAACACTAAAGGGCTCAGATATTGAGACCCATGGGAAAAGAACACAGAAGGTAGAAGACAGGGCAGCCCTTTGCTTTCAGACCCAGCAGGCATGATTTATGGAATCCGATTATATATCCAATGGAAAACAGGGTAGACAAGACAGATTTTCAGCCTCTCCTTCACCCCTCCCCTGCTTCCTTTTACCAGATTCAGCCCTATCACTTTCACTACTCGGTCCAACAAGTGCTTTCCTGCTGCTGTAGCCTCTATCTGGCCAGTAGCAACCCTCAGCCCGGGCTCAGGTGGAGAGGCATCACAGAGCACTCGCAAGAGTCCATCAGAATCTTTCCCTGTCTGGGCCAAGCCAGCCCAGCAAGAGGGACTTTGGAGAAATGCATCCTAAGCCCTTTCTTGCTGACAAAACAGGGGGAGGCTTTAACCTACTACGGGTCCTATTAGCTTATAGTTGTCATAAGGGAAAAAGTGCTTGGGGTCAAATTCCCTAAACCTTGAATTATCACCTTTGGGAAATGTTTTTCACCATTTCGTTGGCCAGATAATTAAAATAACACAATGTTGTCTCCTGGAGTTGCCCAATACAACACCCTGCATTTATCCACCATTCAACAGCTGAGTGTACAACCAAATGGAATAATTACACAGCTTTTGTCAGAAAGGCACCTGACTTCAAATGCCAGCATTATTTGTGTATCAGTGAGAGTTTCCTATAACCACAATGTACATTTGAAACACAGTTTTTCCTTTAATCTTTAACACCTATTTCTATGTGTTCTTTTTAAATTTTTAAAATTTATTTATTTTAATTTGAAAAGCAGAGATAAAGACACACACACACACACACAGAGAGAGAGAGAGAGAGAGAGAGAGAGAGAGAGAGGATCTTCTAGCCGCTGGATCCCTTAAACTGAAAACAGCTGGAGCTGGGCCAGGCCTAAGCCAGGAGCTGGGAACTCAATCTGAGTGTCCCATGGGAGCGACAGGGAGCCAAGTACTTAAGTACTACTGCCTCCCTGGGTGCGTATTAGCAGGAAGATGGAATCAGGAGCAGAGCCAGGATTGAATACAAGCATTCTAACATGCCACGTGGGCAGCCCAAATAGTGTTTTAGTGCTAGGTCAAATGTCTGCTGCTACAATATGTTCTTATTAGAATTTTAACCTATGCTAAATTTAATTTAGGTCAAAATAGCACCATATTTTTATGTATTCTATTACTGACGATTTAAAAAATCACACTTAAATATATAAAGACATAGCTATTTACCATAGCTGAGGCTATACGATGTTAACAGTTGTAGAAGGAAAAAGTTAGCCGGCGCCGTGGCTCAATAGGCTAATCCTCCACCTTGCGGCGCCGGCACACCGGGTTCTAGTCCCGGTTGGGGCGCCGGATTCTGTCCCGGTTGCCCCTCTTCCAGGCCAGCTCTCTGCTATGGCCAGGGAGTGCAGTGGAGGATGGCCCAGGTGCTTGGGCCCTGCACCCCACGGGAGACCAGGAAAAGCACCTGGCTCCTGGCTCCTGCCAGGATCAGCACGGTGCGCCGGCTGCAGCGGCGGCCATTGGAGGGTGAACCAGCGGCAAAGGAAGACCTTTCTCTCTCTGTCTCTCTCTCTCACTGTCCACTCTGCCTGTCAAAAAAAAAAAAAACAAAACAAAAAAAAAAACAGTTGTAGAAGGAAAAAGTAAAACAGGTTTTAATTTCATGTAGAACTTTAGCCAGGAATTTAGGAAAAGCATGAAACCTTCATGAGGACAAAAATTGAGGGAGCTTTGGCTATTTTGTTCATTGTTGTATCCCTAGTTCCTAGGCACAGAGTGTCTGGCACATATCAGGATTCAAATGCGTGCTTAATAAGTAGCCAAATTTGCCCATTAAAATAGCACTGGGGAGTGATTAGTTAGGCTAGCCTTAGGACACCCAAGTCCCACAGTGGATGCTTGTGTTTGATTCCTAAACCTGGCTCCCTCCCTACTACAGCTTCAACCTTTGTGGACTGTGTATGGGCGGGGGTGCAGGAGGCAAGGATGGAGGGGAGTAGCAGGTGATGGTTCAAGTAGCTGGGTTCTGTCCCTCACCCCACATAGGAGATCTGGACTGTGATCCTGGCTCCCAGCTTTGGCCCCAACTCAGCCCAGCCACTGCAGACATTTGGAGAGTGAACTGTAGATCAGAACCCTGTGTCCGTCTCTTTGTCTCTTCTCCCTCCCTTCCTCCCTGTCCCTCTGCCTTTCAAATAAATAAATAAAACTGCGAAGTAATTGAGAAGTGCATTTTTCTTAAAAAAAAAAAAAAGGAAAGAAACTTAACAGCAAGAAAACAAATAACCCAATTTAAAAAATAGACAAAATACCTAAATACATTTTTCCAAAAAACCTACACATAGACAAAAGGTATATGAAAAAATGTGCAATATCACTAATTATCAGAGAAATGGAAATTGAATCCTCC